AAGACAGTCTGTCTGGGAGATAATTCTTCATCTTAAAATTCAAGTTTCTAGTTCTAACATTCTCTGGAACTTATTCCCTTGCTCCACCCCTAATTTTCAACTACTTAGCCTAAGACTGCAGGCGCAAAATACATCTTTCTGAATGTAATCTTTCAGTGTAATAAATAAAAGATGGTGTTAATGCTACTTAAGAGTTGGGCTCTTTAATAAGCATCAGTTCAGACTAATTACTTCAATAAATCAACACAGGGATGAAAAGTTACTAGGGAATTGCCAGGCTGCCAGCCACAAGCCCTCACTGAGAACAAGCCCTGCCTTCCAAGTACAAGGCCAAGGGCTGCACACATGTTTTCAGATAAAAAAAAAAAAAAAAAAAAAAAAAAAAGATAAAAGAAAGTTACCTTCTAGCTCATTTTTATCCTAGGGATATGGTTCCAGAAGTAAACAATACTGTCAATGAAGATTTAAGTTTGACTTAAGCCCAGTAAACTTAATGCCATTTGCTTTTTTAATGAGCAAGCTAGTCAATAATTAAATACAGGAAGATGATCTATTCAGGATGGATTTTGATTTTAACCACGGCCATAAAGAACTGTAAGTTCGCTACTGACATTTTGTTGTGCTATCCAGAAGTCTGCTGACCAGAGCTCCAACCCACTCAGCAAGCAGTGGAACGGTAATTACTGCCAATGATGACTGTATCCAGTGGTTGGGAGATTGCTTTTAGTTTCTTCCCACCAATCTTAGATCACATGTCAACTTGATGACCTGAACCAGTGAGTCCAAGACTGTTCTTGCCATACAAAAGACAGAGTTTACCCTCAAGCTTGGTGTGCTCGAGTGCCCCTGCCCAAGTACTCGACCAGCTGCTGACTTCCCAAATGCCATCACTTAGGAGACAAGGAGGCATTGCATCTACACTGGGCTGGTGCCTCACCCCAGTGAGGTAGTTAACTATTGTTCCCAACTAGGACTATGATAGAAATTGGGGGAGGGGTACTGGCTCCTGGACAATGACCCAAACCACTTACCACTTACAACACACCACTTACCACAGAGGAGAGCTGATGAAAGAGGAAGGAAAGACACAAGTTAGAGCTCCCAGGAAGACACCAAAAGTGGACAGGCCTTAGAAGGCCTGGCATAGAGAAAAGAAGGCCATGAAGAGAACACTCCTCCCATAGACTTCCGAAGCCTTTCACTCTCTCAGGAAGTGCCCTACTCTGAAAAACTTCTCCTCTAACTCCGTAAAGATCAGGAGTCTAGGCAAACCCTCGGCTTTGTGTCTTCCCTTCAGCCTTTCTCCTCTGGGTGTTTACTGCAGTGTGGTGCTGGAGATAAAAGCAAGGGCCCTAAGACCTGGAGGGGACAGGCGCTCCAAAAGGAGACCAACAGAGCCAAAAACACTGAGCCCTGGGGGCCTTGAAGAGAATGATACCCCAACCAAGGACAATGCATGGAATGGTCCTAAAACCCCTGCTCAGATACAGTCATAGTGGGGTCCCTAGGAAGGAAAGAAGGGGCTTTCTCTGGCATGAACTCAGTGGCAGGCTCTCTGCTCACCGCCCCCTAGGGGGTGCAGCCTTGCCAGGCCACAGAGAAGGACAATGCAACCAGTCCTGATGATAGGCTAGAGTCAAACAGAAGGGGACTAGGGGAGTGGACTAGGGGAAGAGCATATGGGGAGAAGAAGGAGGGAGGGTGAGACTGGTAGATGAGGGAGGGGGCCACAGCCCAGATATAAATCTAATAAATTGTAATAAATGATAATAAAAAAGAATTAAAGAAAAAAGAACCAAGGGCCCTGCACCACTGACCCATATCACACTCCAGCCCTTTGCTTTTGGGGTTTATTTTGCTTTTATGTTTTCTTGAGATGTAGCCCAACTTGATCTTGAACTCACAATCTTCTTGCCTTAATTTACAGGCACGTATCACCATGTACAGCCTATAACATTTAAATTTAACACAGCATACAAAATTTCCAGGATTATGACCAATACAAAATCCCATACCACCATCTCCAACTGTAGTAAAAGACCAATCATTCCCTGAATGACAAGCACATAGATTAGCTCACAAATGTAATTCATTTAGATGAACCTTAGAAATCAAAGTCATTATTCTGGATAACATGGAGACCAGTTAAATCTGAACACTCTCCACCTGAAACGAATTCCCTTAACACAATGAGCCAATTTACTGGGCCTCTCATTTTATTGTCTCGGCAGTCAGCTTAAAGCAAACAAACCGAGAAACTAAACACCCAGCTGGGCTTGGTGGCACAATCCTGGCACCAGGGAGCTACAGCAGGATAACCAGCCACTCCTGAGCAGCCTGAAAGGCTTACTAAGAGTTCATCTCCAAGACGAGAACTCCGTGCTAACACATGTCTGGCCCTCACCGGGCCCCCATCAGGTCTCCAACATCCATGGACACCTCTTGTAGAGTGAGGACATGCGGCCACCAAACCTCTGGACTATCTCCTTGGCAACCAGTGATGTTGGCTGGAGAAGTGTCACCTTCTTAGCACTGCCATCAACCCAAGGGTAAGAGAGCAAAGTGGCACTCAAGGTCACACACACTTAACTGGGAGAACTAGAACACAGCCGTCTGCTTCTTGGTCCACACATCAGAGACAATGGTCGATGGAGGCTTCATGGCATCAACCCAAGGTAGGCCAGTCAAGTCATCATACCTGGTGGGTGTGTAGACCTATGTACCAGCCAGTCTGGCCTTCTCTGCCCCCACCTCCTACCCACAGCATCCCCACGGAACAAGACTCCAGCTTCGGGACCTCTATCCACACTATTAGCCAGGCTCGAGACACTCCCACCCACTTCCATGCTGCTGTCATTGGATCTTTTGAACCAGATCCAGGGACACTCTGTCATGATATGATGTCCCACACTCTGGGATGTTTGTCCTTCTTTCCTCTGGATGTAAAGGACACAAGGGTGTTGAGGGAAAGCAAGTAGTGCAATCAACTGGACTTGAATTTTCCTGGGTTCCGACACGTGGATGTGGACTAACAGGATAGATGTGCCATATCACGGAGAAGAACTTCAGGCTACCCCAGTGAAATCATGCTGGCAACTTGGCTTCCTTTCCCAGTCTCCTCCTCCAGAGAGGAGCACAGAAAGGCAAAGAGATGTCCCGCAATGAAGGTAGATCCTGACAACCCTTTCTAAGCTGAAAATACGTTTAAGTAAAAACACATTCGATCATTTCACCTTTCCGAACATCACAACTGACCTCAACGTGCTCCAGACTCTCATGAGCCTCCAGGTGCCCAGAACCATCTAGCACAAAGCCCATGTGATAATAATATGCTATTCAAATACGTGTTGAGCCCGTAATACCAGCATTTGGAAAGCAAAGACTGGAGATCCATCTCAAGTCTGAGGTTAGCCTGAACTACGTCACAACTACATACCTCAAACAGAGAGGGCCAATGAGACAGCTCCACGGGTAAAAGCAATGGCTGTGCAAGACTAGAGATCCAAGTTCAATCCCTGGCACCCACACAATGGAAGGAGGAAAATGACTCCTGCAAGCTGCCTTCTGACCTCCACATGTTCACTGTGGCATACATACCCCGATACACAATAAATAAATGCAAAATGAAATAAATAAAGGCACGCGACGAGGAGCTTGCACTCACGTGCACACCCGCCACAGAGACGGACATTTTGTAGCTACGACAGGATGCAAACACATAAGACACTGCAGAGCTACAGCTATAACTGGACTGTGGCTCACTGCTGTGTGGTCACAGGAGATCGCATGACACCATTAACCTGGAAAAGGATCAGAATTCAAAACTCCAAATAGCTTCAGCCAAATGCACACCAGTTTCTCAACACCATCAGCCGAACCCTGTTAAGTTGGGGGGCTCTGGCAACTAGGATGCACTCTAAGCAGACGTGCTTTTTATCTTAGAATGTTTGCGTATGTGTCTGCGTGTGTTTGTGCACTTGCGCCAGGGTGCACTCGTGAGGTCAGAAAAAGACTTGCAGAAGTTGGTTCTCCTTTCATCACATGGGTATGGGGACTCAACTCAAGTCTTCAGCCTTGACAGCCTTTACCTGCGGAGCCATCTCTACCGCCCAGTGTCAGGCTTCCTGGAGTTTCTGTCTTCAACTTGAGTCATTGCACACTCTGGGAGGCAAGGTAAACAGCCGCAGCCCTGAGGCCAAGAATCTGTGGGTACAATGGCTAAGTGTGTGGACTTCTGAAATCAGACCGTAACTGTGCCAACTACTAGATAAGAGCCGTGATCGAACACTACTTGCCAGTGGCAGAGACACGGGTGACTCTCACACCCCCAAATCGTGGGCACCTGTTGTGGGTGACATGTAGGCGATACACGGGCGATCGGAGCAGCCAACCTGAAGTACACCCTCATAGACTCCAACTTCGCCCTCCATAGTACTTACCACCGACTGCCACCATCTTTGCTCACAAGTGTGATGAGCTCTAAAGGCCTCCTGTGCCCAGTACGGTGACTCAAAACATGAAACGAAGCAAGGAACAGACCGGACGTGGTCCCTGTTGCCTCACGGCCCTTAGATTTGGTGAAGGGAAACATACATGCATACATACGTAAATACGTGTAGACATATATACGTACATGTATGCATACATACTATTACACGAATATACTCTGCATACATAGTTGTCTACAATGCACCTTTTTTATTCACGTGTGCATGCTGGCATGTACAAAGTGCACCTTTACACACAAGTGTATACAAAAAGTGTACTACACAGAAAGTGTGCACAGGCTTCCTGGGCTGTAGTCCCAACAGCTACAGAAGCAGCAGTCCCGGGAACACTAAGAAGAAGGGGACTAAGGCAGACTCCATGAACTGACTCCACATGCATGCTTTAGGTGCCTGGTGCATGCGGGCCTCAGGCGGACAGCGTCCTGCCCTCAGGGCGCGTCCCTTCCGGCGCCGGGAGCTGAGTGACAGTTCCCAGGACGGCCGCCCGCTTACCTCGGAACTTGAGTTCGTGCTGCGGCTCGAGGCTCAGGACCTGCTCCACCTTCGCCATGGTCCTCCCCGTCGGGGCGGCGGCGCGGGCGGGGGGCGGCGGCCTGGGTGGCGGGGCTCAGGGGCGGAGGGCGAGGCCGCGGTGCCCGGCGAGCTCACGGCACGCACACACGTAAGCACGCACGCACGCCCCGACGCACGCACGCACGTAGGCACACACGTAGCAGCTGCCGGGCTCCGGCAGCGGCCAGAGGCTCCAGCGGCGAAAGGCGGACTGCGCATGCGCCTGATTTCTGGGACACTGCGCAGGCACAGCCCGGGCTGTGGAGGGCGGAGCTTCCGCGGCAGGGGGCGTGGTCTCGCTTGGCTTGGGAGGAGGGGCGGTCTCCATCCAGACTGCTTAGTAAGCGCCTGCGGGGAGAACTGTTGTTAAGTGCTTTACTTAATAATAATAATTAACAAGAATAAACTTCCACTTTCTTCCCGCACGTGTGGTGCCAAGCTCTGCTGAGCCTGAATATAATAAAGTACTTATAATTCTTACAAACACAATGTTTACGGGTTAGTGATATGTGCCAGGCCTTGTGACAGTTCATAAATAACAATTATAAATATAATAAACTGGCAATTATTGTTTGCTTATTTCGTGCCACTCTGCTGAATGCTTTCAGTAACTGTCATAAATAAAAGCTATTCTGCATTCAGCGCTCACCAAGCCTCAAAGCGCTCCACTGAACCATTTGCTAATAGATACCATTATTTGTTTATGCAAGAAATATTTAGAAATACAATAACCGGAAAACGACCTGCTTCACACCTTGCTAGGACCTCATGGGTAGAATAAATTGGCTACACAAATAAATCATGTCATTAGAAGTGTCTGGGCGCCTAGAGCTGTCTAATGCCCAAAATAAGCCCTCTATGGTCTTATTAGCATGTGACTAGTATTTCATTGTGTAACATACATATACTATGTAAAATAGATCTTAATAGCCTCCTCATCAAACATATATGAAATAAACATATATGAAGTAAACACGAGTAATTGTTCACCGTGGTCTATTCTATATGACTGAATATTCATATTGTTCATGCATTTCCCATGTTCTGCATCCTTGAACTTATTTCCATAATAAACGTTTTTAAGGGGTAATCTCTGTCTTTTAGCTTGTGCATCTATAGTCCATTTATATTTATTATACTTGTTGGTGTACCTGGATTTATTTCTACCACCTTACCTTGTTTCCCTCATTAATGTACCATTTTCTGTTTGCCTCTCATTTCTTGTTTCTTCTGAGTTGTTTTCCTCTCCATCTATTCTTTCCTTTCATGGTCTGCTGCTGTTGCTTCAATGCTTATTTTAATTTTTTTAACGTGTACTGATTTTATGAAAGTCTAGCTTTTATAATATTTTGCCCTGCTCTCTTTAAGTTTAAGAACTTCAGCTCACTATAATAGCCCACCCCTCACTTATGTGCCTTCATTATTGTGCCTTCGAAGGATATACATGTTTTCCTCAGTCCCTGTTCTGTGTTTTGCCACACTATCTCTTTGCATTTGTCATATTTTGAACTCTTTGGGGCTTTCTACATTTGTTCACTGGGTATCTTTCATCAAGCTCAAAGCTTTTCAGTCAGTATTTTTCTTAATTTTGCTTTTGCTGTTGTTCGCTTATTTGCTTTGTTTCTGAGAAAGGGTCTCTTGTATCCCACTCTGACCTTGAACTCACTGTGTAGCTGAGGATGATCTTCATTCTCCCGCCTCCCAAGTGCAAGAATTCCAGATGTTATATATCACTCCCAGTTCATGGAGGACTGAAGCTGGAGTCCAAGGCTGCCTGCTATCCAAGCATTGTACCAGCTGAACTATCGTCTCAGCCTCAATTTTATTCTGCTTTTGAAGTAGGGCCTCACTACGTAGCACTCACTATGACTAGAACTCACTATGTAGAGACCAGGCTGGCCTCAAGTTACTTTGGTTTATTATTATTATTATTATTATTATTATTATTATTATTATTATTATTATTATGAAGAATTACACCTAACACAGGACTTCCATTGTGCCATTTTTAAGAGTGTAGCCCAGCAGTACTGACAACTTTCATGTTGCCTGCAACCAACAAGCTCGCCCATCCCCCAAACTTCTACCTTCAAATCTGAAACTCCACATCTCTTAAACACTAAGGCCATGTTTCCCTTCACCATCCCCAACCCTTGGGGAGCTATTTTCTGTCTCTGAATTTGAGTGTTCTAGGTACCTGGGGGGGGGGGGTCACAATTTGTGACTGGGTTACTTAGCACTAAGATAGGACAGAGTGAGAAGCTAAGGAGATGTGAGAAGAGAAAGATCCCCTCCCCCCCCCAAACACACACAATTGGGCTATGGGCCTATAGATCCCATCGGACAGCACCCTTGACCCTTTGAATGGTAGATACCAGGGACCTGTTCATATACCTGTAAGGACTTACCCAATGCTCACAGAAGCTGTTAGGCTGGGTACAAAAGAGTGCTCTAGATGGCTATCAAGAGGCATAAGATGGGGCCTGTGGTGATTGGCTCTGGACCTGCAACCTTCCCGGCTGTCTGGCTCTCATCATTGCAGGTCTGCTCGTTCAATAGTCTTTGTAGGTACAGCTTCTATGCAAGAACTCTCGTTTACACAATAAAGCCAAAATTGCCCAAAATGCTAATGTGTGTTCCCCTGAGGGCGTCTCAAAGATTTACCAACTAGCAACTGTGAGTCCTACCATGGCAGCACTCCTCTCTCATCCCCAAACGGGAGCAGTGTGCCTCAAACAGCCCCTTACAGCTTTACAAAGCGTGATCCTGTAAGCAACCCAGCTTGAATACGGTGTTTACTTAATTTCAAGCTCTATTTAATCTTTAAACTTTGTAATAAATTGCCTCCATGCAACTTAAAGCCACAGGATCATGTATATAGCCATTGTGAAGACACCTAAGTGTTGTCAGAGCACATGCTTAATGCCAGCATTCAGGATGCGGAGGCGCACAGATCTCTGTGAACTCAAGGCCTGCCTGACCTATGTAGCGAGTTCCAGGGCATCTAAGAGAACTCTCTTGAGAAGCCCACACCCATGACTTGGTGCCATTTTTTCCTATGACTCTGTCTAAATACTTAATGAACTCATTGACTTTGCCTTTAGTCTGGCTCATCTTGAAATTCTTTTCAGTGCCATCATCAAGCATCTGGCTTCACCTGAGCAGAGGTCTCTAAGGGGGGAAGGAAGCTCTTCAGGCTGTTGGCAGCAGTGCTGGACTGTGTCTTCCTGCCACCACGGCTGACAGCATGATGTCCCTCAGGGCTCATCCATTGTGTAGCATATGTGACAATATTGCTTTCAAATGCCACCTCAGCCCCATCCTCTCACTCTTAACATCTGGAATTCTGGTTGGCATTTTTATTCATGATGTTTTTGAAACCGTGGTTGTTTTCCGACAGTAGCTTATAAAATGAGTTCAGTCATTACCAGAATCTGGAAAGAAAGAACAGGATGTGCTGAGATGCCTTCTATTATTCAGGAAACTTCTATTTGACCACACTAACGTGCTTGCACTCAGATCTATGTACAATGTCACAAATACTAGCATAATACAGTTATTGCTTGGGCTTGTTAAACAGAAAGTGAAGAAGGAAGAGAGGAGTAGAGGGAGAGGGGAAGGGAGCCAGTAAAATAGTCTAACTATTGCATACCAGCCTTAATGTCTCTTAAGATAACACATCATCATCACCATTGTTATTATTATTACTTATTGGACTTGGTCTTGCTGTGTAGCTCAGCGGGCCCAGAACTCACCTCATAATCCAGGTAGGCTTCACATCTGTGCTCCACTTGCCTCAGCCTCATGATAGCGGCCATTGTAGTCTTGGACCACTTCCCTCATATCCATACACTTGTTTGGTCTGTTGTTTGTTTGTTTGTTTGTTTGTTTTTCTTCTCTTTTGGCACAGGAGACTCTTGGATGTTAGTGTTATGTGGCTTATAGGCAACCCCTACCCCCATCCTTCTGGATTCCATTCCAACCTCTCATCTTCATAACCCACATTCCAGATATATCTAGACCTTTCTTTTGGTCATTTGTTATCCCTTAGGCTGCCAGTAACAGTTTCAGACAGTTTTCCATTGGTCACTCTAAGTCTACGCGCTCTACTTTCTCCCTTTATGTACATGGTCATGTGCATTTGTAACAGAGCTCATGCTGGCCCCTCCCCCCAACACAGTTTTCCTGCACTTAGCAGTTACAATACTCAGGTAGTTTGGGAAAAGAAAGATCGTACAGAACCGGTGCAACCTCCCACAAAGGCCAGTTCATAAACAGACCCACTGAGCAGGCAGCAGTACAAAGGAAGGAGAATGCTGTCCACAGAGTGAATTGCTTAGTTACCCCAGAAGCACTGTTACAGAGGACAGTTTGCGTGGGAATCCCGCACCTTGAGAAGCATCCCCAGACCTGGGGACTGGACTTCCACGTCTCTGCTCTCTGTCCCTCATCATCCACTGTCCATGACCATGTGTTGGTGGTCCTGTCCATGCAGCTGTGTTCTTGTACCTATATTTCTGGTCCAAGCACCTGGAGTCACGGTTATGTACCTCTTCTCCTTCTATCTATTCACCTGTGCTCCTGACTCAGCACCTGTAAGTCTGAATATGGGCCTGTTCCTGTTCCATGCACCTGTGTTTGTTGCTATGCACCTGTGTCCCTATTGTCCATGTACCTATGCTCCTGACCATGCACCTATGTTCCTATCCCATGCACCTGTGCTCCTGCCTATGTACCTGTATTCCAGATTCTCTCTGCTCTTGTAGACAAATCTCTACCCCGACTGTGCCTCTGTGCTCATGTTCATCTTTCAGCCACACTAGTAGACAACCACATATATTTCTCGAGATTATGACAAATGGTGATGTCCAATTTAGCTGTTACTATGCAAGCCAGTTAAATCTTGGGTGTGATTTTTCATCTAGGTTGAAAGGGTTGTTTTTTCTATGGAAACCCTGTTTCTCTGGCTGTAATTTAAGCTCAAAGTTCAAAGGCTGGGACATGTCATTTGCTTCCCATAGTTTCCCCATAGCCTCAAAAGTAGCTGTCCCTCCCCAGGTCCTCCAGTCCTCAGTGCTTCGTCACTACAGCAGCTGCAGGGCTCTCCACA